ACGATGTACTTTAGAAGAGTTTGTAGACTCTGTCCTGTAAACTCTTTTTCTGCCAGGAACATTCCCAGCTCGTTGAGAGCGCTCTTCCACTGTGTGTAGACCTTTTGGAGCGCATTAAGAACAGAGACCACTTCTTCTACCGATTTTTTCTGTGCTGATGTCAGGTCTAGATTGTCTATAAACTGTTTTTTCATCTGATTTTCTGCACAGTCTGTCTCTATTATGTCGGTGGATATTTTGATTACCTCCTTCATCACGCCCACTTCTTTTTCTATGTTTATTTTCTGCTCTTTCATCTTTTCCTGTATAAGTGAGACGATGACTTTATTCTCCAGAATGCGAGGCAGGGACTCCAGCTTAATCCCCCATGCGCCCTGGTTTCTATTGCTGGAGTTCAGGATATTTACCACAGCAAGCGACATTCTAAGAATCTGGTGCACTTCTTTCGTCCTCAGCACTATCTCGCATCCTTCAATGGCTTTCTGTATATTTGGTAGCAAACTGTTCTTGATATTTGGCAGAGTTAGTTTCAAGTGGAGGATCGTTAGCTTGTCTTTGAAGCCCTCTACCTGCATGGCTCTTTTGTAGAACTTTTCAGGCGCTAGCTCCACATCGTGTTTCTGGACCATTTCCAGCTCTTCGTCTGTGGGATAGCTTTTAAGAAGCCCGGACAGAAGAGTCTCTGAAAATGGCTCGGCATTCAAGTCGTCAACCGCTTTTATTAATTTTTCATGGGTGGTTTTAACTCTGGCAAGCACTATGTCAATGGCTTTGCATCTTTTTTTGTCAATCACCCCTTCAAGCACAGGCTTACTATCTTCAGCAGATTTTTCTGCTTTTTTTCTCTCAAAGACAGCAAAATCTTCTTTTTTGAACATTTTCAGATCTGATTTGTCCAGCTGGCTCCACAGCCCTGTGGCTCCTGGCTTCCTTATGTGCACCTCGTATGGAATCTGCTGCGGGTTGCTAGGCTGCAATAAGCCAGCTTCTTCGATGTACTGTGCCCTAGGCCCAGGCTTTGATGGTCCATTCGTCTCAATGGGAGCCAACTCTATTTTGTCTTTTCCTATGCCTGCAGTAGATGGCGCAATAGGCTCTTTTCTAGGTGGTGCTCCTGGAGGTATTCTAGGTGGCATACTAGGAGTGGAGATATTTGACTGCATTCTGGGAGGTATTCCTGGTATTTTAGGTGGTATTCCTGGAGGCATGCTAGGAGTAGAGATATTTGACTGCATTCTGGGCGGTGCTTTAGGCGGTGCTCCTGGTATTTTGGGTGGCATGCTGGGTGGTGCTCTGGATGGCATTTCTACACCTGCAGTCTTTGGAAATACCTTAGGCGGTGCAGGTGGTGGGCCAGTAACAGCAAAGGAGTGCACTGAGAGAGAATCTGTTTTTTTTGTTTCTCTGCTTCTTCCATCCACTACAGCCTCTTTCTTTTCTATTTCAGATTTCGTAATGTTTTCTGTGTTTGCAATAATTTGTTCTATTATCTCTCCTGTATTCAATGGATCTGTTTCCATTTGGCTCTTACTTCTAGCTTCGCTGCTTTTCTCTTTTGGAGCTGGTTCTGCGCTTTTTTTAACTGGTTCTTTTGTTTTTTCTGTTTTACCTAACTGTCCTTCCTCAGAGTGGACAAAAACCGATTCAACCGCTTTTTTATTCTGTATGCTCAGATCCTGCATTAGCTTATGTGCAGACTCTTCGCCATTTGTGCTGCTGCACTCTTCTGTTTTTAGGGGCTTTGGAGTGGCCACTGAGATATCTGAAGGTGATGGAACTGCACTTCGCATTTCGTGATGCCTGGGGAGAATATCCTTGCAAATACACTTGTATTCTTCTTTTTCTGTTTTTTGTTTTCTTATTTCTCTTTCCTGTTCAATTTTCTTTGTGTCTTTGTTCTTATACGCTGATTCTTCTAGAATGCACCCTCGTATGTACTGCAGCACGTCGTATATCCTGTTGCTTTTTATTCTGTTCAGGACACTTAGCACATTGATAATGCAGTCTAGGTCTTTTCTTGTTTCTTCTGTCTCTATCCCAATAGACCGCACATCTATCTCGCATGCCAGCCGCCTTACGCTCTCCTGGCGGCCAATTATTGCCCCTACAAGGTCTCTTGTGCTTGGATACATCTGTTCTATTTTTCCTAAGACCTTTGACACATCGCACATTCTCAAAAGACTGTCTATCATGATCCCAACAAGCGGAACTTCCTGGTAGAACTTGGTCAGAAGGTGCAGGAACATGTTTGCATACTCTTCATTTAGCGTATTGAACGTTAAGTTGTAGTATATCTCTCCCATCAGATTCTGGATTCTCGTGCTGCACAGAGGAACGCAGTAAAGATGGTCTTCTTTTTTCTTAGGCTGGAACAGGTGTTCAACTATCGTATCCATCTGCAGATCCACGCACTTCACTCCTATCTCAAGAATTATGGTTGATATGAACACATAGTCTGACGGATAGTGCGAGAATATTTCTCTGAAAAGATTTTTGTTTGTCTGCAGTCTTTTAATGACCGCAGGCGATTTTAAAGTTGTTTTGAAAAACTTTGCAGTTGGCTCCAGGATTTTATATATAGGCTTGTTTTGCCTGCTGTTCTCTATCTGCATGTACATCCGAAAGTCGGTTGGCCACGTGGCAGGAGAGAGCATCGATATAAGGCCCCAGAGCTCTTCCAGGATGTTCTCGTCCATTGCCTTTTCTATCTCCTGCTCGGTGAGTGTTATAAACTTCAGCCTAAGAACGCCCATTTCTCTAACACAATTTTCTATGTCCGTTATGTTGTAGGAGGTTGTGAAGGGCTTTTTGATATTTTTTAATTGTTTTGCGATATCTAAGCCGCTTGTCTGGACTGATTTCTTCTGGGCGTTTATCATGTGGAGCTTCTGCTGTGCAGGCAGCACAAGGAGAGCCTTTCTCTTGTCGCCCTCTATTCCCAGAGAGTCCAGAAGTGTTTGAAATTCCTGTGTTAGTGAGTCTGGGCTCGATGAATCTTTCATTCGGATAAAAAATAAATAGTGAAAAAACAAGAATTAATAGACAAGAATCAATTAGACCTTCATATACCCTAATATAGTAAATGATTAATAGAGCAAAAGAGCGCAGGTACAAGGGAAAACAAACAAACACAGAGCCCTGATCAGGCTGTAGATACTTTTATCGCACCACTCGGCCTATCTTGTCCAGACTCTAGTTGCATTTTCAATTGCGCTGCAAGCTATTTTATTCACTGACTTCTGGCTTCTCTGATGAGATATGAAGGAGAATTTTGCAGAACTTCTTGTGCAAAATAAGATTCTGTTTATCTTCTCGTTTTATGTTGTTTTGTTTCAATTGCAGCATAAGTACACCACACAAAGTGTTGGCATGCGCATTCTTCTACTAGTTGCAGCATTCGTACTCACTTCCTGGGCGTACCCGCAAGACAATGCATCTGTGGATGCCGAGGGCAGCTCTGAAGAGAGTCTTTACAGAGCAGAAAAAATAGAAAAAACCCCACACACTTCTGAAGTATCAGGCGAGAAGGCTGAAAAGAGCGGTGAAAAGAAAGAGAGCACGCTCAGCTACCGGGAGATGATATACGCCAATCTCAAAGAGGCAATGAACACTCTCAAAAAACAGGAAAACGAAATAGTTGAGCTTAGGCAGAGCATACAAAGCATTTCCAAAATATTTTCTTTGTACTCGGAGGAGAAAGAGACAAAGCCTTCAAAAGACAAGTTTGTCGCTGTCTTTGATGGAGGGTCCACAGGAACACGAATTAACATATACCAATTCGATGAAAAGGGCCTAGTTCTCAAATCGCACTTTCTCCACAGGCTTTTCCCAGGGATACACAACAGTAAAACACCAGAAAATGACATAAAACAGCTGCTTGCCCTGGGAAAGGCTCATCTGGAAAAGAAGGAGCACAGGACGGGATACGACTTTCCCATTGTGTTCAACGGCACAGCAGGACTCAGACTGATCGATGAAAGAAAAAGAAATAGCGTGCTGGAAATTGTAAAAAAAACCATACAGGAAGAAACAAAAAAAAAAGAGATTGAAGTTCGCGTGATAGACGGCAAAGAAGAAGGATTCTACGCATGGGCTGCGCTAGTCTTTGTGACACAGATGAAAGAAAAGATAGGAATCATCGATCTGGGCGGGGGCTCTGCTCAGATTTCGTTCGAGATAGACAAAGACATGCAGGGAGCGCAGGATGGAATTGTTCACGGAAAGAACAAAGATGTGCTGTCTCGCTCTTTCTTGGGCATGGGGCTCGTTGCAGGCCTCGAGAATGTGCACAAAACGGATAAAAACGGGGTGTGCGAGTGGAAATCAGCAAGCTTTGACATCAACAGGTGCAAAGTCCACATAAAAAGCGCAATCAGCGCGATGATCCAGGAAAGAACGCAGGGCAAAGAAGTGGCACCGGGCATATCCCAGGTGAATACAATGTTTGTCTCCTCTTTCATTGCGGAGACCCTCCATCTTCTCCAAACGCCTGTAAACCCGCAGTTTAAGGACATAAAAGACGTTGTCTCATCAATATGCTCAAATAACTCGGTGATGGCAAACTCTAATCTCGGCAAGCCAGAGCAAACAAGCAATCCGAATGTAGTATCAAAACAGAAGAAGCCAGACTGCATCAGCGTTCTGTACGCGGTGATGTTTATGGAGAATTTGGGCGTGGGCCTTTTTACGCCCATCAAGAACTCTGCGAATATTCCCACAGACATCAGCTGGTCTCTTGGAAGGGCTCTTTCTCTTATCGAATAGAAATAAAAATGGTGTGTTATTACGTCTTTTCCCAGATAGATTTGCCCTACTTGTCTGTTGTCTTTCTGATTTGTTCTGTCAATATTGCAGTGACAAAATGCAACGCAAAAATAAACTCTTACTCGTACAGTTTCCACGAAGAAAAGACTTTTAATACTTCAGCATAAAAATTTAAGAAATGGGCTCAGAATTTTATTTATTGCAGCAGCGCTCCACTATTTGATGCAGCTAGCTACTACTGACAATTGTTTTTCAGGGTTTAGCCCCTGCCTACATTAATGTGTGCTGTTATTCTGCTCTACACTCTTATTCCAACAAAACAGTCTGAATGTGCCAA